TTGTTGTCAGCTCAGAAATGTGTGTGTGTTATATGCAGTCAAGTTACTTTCAACTTACAGCAACCTCATGAATTAATGACCTCCAAAACATCCTATCATTGATAGCTGTGCTCAAGTGCTACAAACTGAAGGCTTGGAAATAGTCATTCGTAATGAGAACATTCACATTGGAACCTTTGAACATATTTTATTGGTTACATAACACTTTGTACATACTTAAAAGCAACTTTAATCAGAAATAATTGATTTTCTTTCCCAACACTAAATCAAGTTCAACATTTCCTTCTCACCTTCAATGGACAAATCCAGTATATGATTGTCTTCCATACTTCTCAAGACCCCTACAAGACAAACCCACACATAAACGTCATTTTTCTGCAATCAATATTGGGTCTAAGGAGATAGGAAACTTCCAACATCACCTTATTTCTTATTTCTGGCAACCCAGTGTTACATGACATTACTGGTCAGCAGGCCAAATCATTACAGGAGGCAAAATACTCCCTGCATCAAATTCACCTAGTGCTACAGCACACAAGAGGTATACGGACCCTGTACATTATATCACAACTGAGAGCCAGTGTGGTGTAGTGGTTAAGAGTGTCAGACTAGAATCTGGGAAACTGGGTTCGAATCCCCATTCATGCCATGGGAGCTTGCTGGGTGACCTTGGGCCAGTCACTCTCTCTCAAGGTTGTTATGAGGATAAAATGGAGGCAAGGAGAATGCTGTAAGCCATTTTGGGTCCCCATTGGGGAGAAAAGGCAAGGTACAAATGAATTAATTCCTAGACAGTACTGTCACGTCCAGGGTTTCCGCAAAAGTGGCATCATTTCATCACTAACACAAACACCCCAGATCTCCTGCTGGTTACTAGGACAAGGTAGCAACCATATCAAGAAAAGACATGTGGGCTGTGTAACAAATACAAAAGTTGAAGTGAGATTTGCAGCATAATCCTATGCATTATCTACACAGAATTCCCACTACTTTCTCCGATATGGCTGCACTCTCAGATTCCTAGCTTCTGATTCTGATTCATAGTCTTAGGCACTTCACTACTATTGCACAAAGCAGGGTTCACCCATGGGCGCCATGGCACCTGCTAGTACTTTGCCTCACACCCACTGAGCTTTTCAGAAAGTGGACTGGTCCACTATAAGGCTGGACTTGTAATTGACTGCTCTCATTCAAATGAAAGGGTTGACCATGGCTGCAGTAGCAGTCACAACCACCCAGGTTTTCCATAGTCAGTGTGTGGTTCCTACTCTCTCTTTCAGGGTTTTTTTAAAATTCCCCAATCTCGGTCTCCCTTCTTCTCCCTGGCTCTCTCCCCCCCCCCCCAGCTTTCTTTTGTTTCTTTTTATTTCTCAATCTCTTTCCTCCTCCTCCCTCAGGCTTTCCTTCAATTCTTCTGCAATTGTTTTAGAAAGCAAGGAGGGAGAAATTTTCTTTTGGCTCTGCCTCCTGCAGCAGCTATTTGGGGTTTGGGTCCACCTTCTGTGGCAGTTATTTTGGGATGGCAATCACAACCTGTCAAGGCTAACTCTGTCCTGGTGTAGTAACATAACCTAGCTGGTTTTGGTTCAACAGTAATACACACACCATGAAGCAAAAAAGCTTTATTCAAGCAAAGGGCTTTTTAAAACAGATCATATAGTTCAGTGGCTATCTTAATGCATAAAAATAATAAAACTAAGCTAGCTATTTACTTAATTCTTACTGCAGAAATCCAGGTTCTTACATCTAAAGCATGGTGTTCCAAAGCATACAACCTTCAGGCAGTCAGGGAAGTAGGTGGAAGAAAACGGATAAGAAATGTTCTTTTCCGTCATTGGCTATATTTTATAGAAAGCCCCAGCCATAACCTCCTGACCTTCCCCAACCAATCATAGCCCTGTCTCCAAGGTATATTCTGGACAGGAACAAGCTTCCCCACTCCCTTTCCAGATTCACAGATGAACTGTGTGAGCTAATTAACAGGCTGGGGGGGGGGGGTTAACAACTAACAGTTAGAGTACAGTGAAATGAGAGTTTAGATGGAATTTTCCTCTAATTTATTTATTTATTGGGATTTCTATCCTGCCCTCCCCCAGAAGATGGTTTCTCTCTTGACATAACTCCCTCTCAAAATTCCAAAGGTGCCCACAGGCTCAAAAAGGTTGGGGACTCCTGCAGTAAAGTAAATCAGACCACAAAAAAAGGGAGAAGGAGCTATTGATGTAGGAGAATTCCAGCTTCCATATCTGAAAAATAATGAACAGTTGGTACGGTCCAAAACCTATGATGTTAAGCAAGTGGGTAGGAGTTTCTCTTACCAAACAGAGTTGCTATGGAATGGACACATACACTTTCATCTTGAACAAGCAATGGGATGACAAGTGCTGCATGCCGAGTCAGAACATCATGGAGGCAGGAGAGCACATGATTCTTGCGTACTAACTGAAGATCAGAAAGTTTCATCAGTTATTTGTTTTGAAAAACAAGTACAGTAGTACTTAAATTCTGGTGTAAATTTTGATGCAGCCAGGAGCCAATAGTAATGTAATAGTCTAGACTCCAGGCTGCATGAAATTTTTATGACCAAGCAAGAAAGGTACAAAACGGAACTATTACCATAGGAAAGCATATCTGACCATGGCAGCAAATTATCCAGAATGAGGCCTGATTATTATCTTTGCCTTTGGTCAGAGACAATAATTACTAAAAAAATTATCTTGGTCAATTTATAAGAAGTTGTATTATAATGCCAGGAGTCATTCTGCAATATCATTTGTTTGACCACTGAGGAAGGCCAATGGGCCGAAACGCAGACAAAGTAAATAATTGTTATTTTCTGTTATCACTGTACAATTTGATTCATAATTGAGGCTATCACCAGGGCCTATACTTGTTTTTAATTTACTTTGTAATAAATACATGTACATTTTTGTATATTTTTCAATCATTAATGTTTTTAACTTGACTTACACAATTGATTTTGGTAGACCACAAAGTTCCCTTTTTGCTGAGTCTAAGTGGCTCATTCATTGTGCACTGTGACAACCACCACCAAACTATCTCTACCTGCCATTAAACACAGCTGTGAAAGCTGACAAATGTAGACAAAAGTCAAGGACACCTACAGAAAGTCAGATGCTTTCCCAAAACAACGGGATAGAGGGCTGCAGCTTTATAAAAAAAAGATGAAAACAGAATGCTATTATATTATCTAAGAGCCCCTATTCTCCACTGTTTCCAAACATACCAATAAAAAGTGCTGACTTTTTAAAATCCTATTCAGGGCAGTAGCAGTATTCCCTCAGGGACCCCTTCCCTGAATTTTCAATTTCATTTACCACCTAACCTAATCCACTGGGGAAATTTCGAGAACGTGTCCCTGAGGTAACACTCCACACACACACACCCCGCAACCTCGAGTCACTTCTACTCAGAAGGCCCATTTTATTTAATGGGGCTTACTCCCAAGGAAGTGTTCGTAGCAAGGACAATGGGAGGCGCAGAGCTGAAGAGCTGAAGAGAGCCAGCAAGAAACGGGCGCGACTGGATGTGCCTCGGAGAGGCTGGGAGCGAGCGCAGGGCGCACCCACCGAGGCGCCGTCCTCTTGCAGCGTCTCAAGGGCGCACGCCAAGCAAAGCGGCGACGGCAGGGACTCCAGAAGCCAGCGAGAATCATGGAGGGCGTGAAACCGCGGGCAGACCAGAGGCTCGACGGCCATCTCCAGTATGCTTCCTTCCCCCACCGGCTCTTCGTCAACCCGCTCGGAGAGCAGCCACAGCTGCGGGTGGCAACAGACAACCGGCGGGAAAGACGCGCGCAGACGCACTGCCCGGAGGGAAAGAAAGGCGCCTGTTGATTGGCAGCTCTCAGTGCGCGGGGTTCCGAGCGGGCGGGGGTGTTCGCAAACGGAGAAAAGAAGGATTCTTGTACGGATCGCCTGCTCCTTCGACTCATTCGTATGCCCTAGCGAGGCACCGTTCGCACTGCGATCGTAAGCGTGTTCATTTAGTGCTCCTGTTGCTCTTTAAGGCAGGAATCTTACGAACAATCAGTGCGATCCTAAACAGTTACCCCCTTCTAAATCCACGGGAGTCAGTGGGTGTAACTACGGCTTCACGGTCGGTTAGGAGTAAGCCCCGTCGAATACAATACTTTAAGAGTAAAGTATATTGATAGGAGTGCCTTGTGGGATTGTAAAAATATGTTTATTTAGGTTTCAAGGGACATCTACATGCACATACTGCCACATTTTCGGGAAGGACTTTTTACAGGTGAGAAGTATAAATGTGGCAAATGAAGCTACTACTTGCGAGCAAAGCTACAGCAACTCTGCCTCTTTCGTGGCTGTTAATAGCATAAGATCCCTACCGGGGTGGGGTTGGGGGTGGCACAGCCCGAGTAAGAATGTCTGGGGATGGACCTTTTGCATTTCATGGCCGCCTAACTGTGGGACAAATTTTTAGCAGGTCTACCTAGAAGTAACTCCCATTTTATTCAGTGGAATTTGCACTCAGGTAAGTGCTTTTATGATTAAAGTCTGTGCATTACATAGCGTGTACATACATTACGTGCAACATTACGCCCTGGCTAGTATTTGGATGGGGGACCTCCAAGAATACCAGGATCGTGACGCGGAGGCAGGCAATGGCAAACCACCTCTGAACGTCTCGCCTTGAAAACCCTATGGGGTAGCCATTGCAGCTGTGACTTGACCGCACTTTCTACCACCAGTCCAAGAAAACGTCTTCCACAAACTAACTAGTTTTTAAGTGTCACCAGCCGCTCTTTTAAAAAACTCCCCCCCCCCCCCCCCCCCGATTTTGCTACAGTGGACTAAACACGCCTGGCCTCTGGAATATTTTCACTGTGGTCCCTGACGTGCTTTTCCTTGCGCAACCAGTAGAGGCCGCAATAAGTGCAAAGCGTTCGGATGCCAGAAGGGTCCGCTGTTCTCTTTACACTGAATTACCCTTGGCGATCATTTCCTGGGTTAGCTCAACCTCACTTCCGGCGGGAGCGAGTTTTCTCTCATGCGTTTCGGAGTGGTTTAAGTTTCTTCCTCCGTGAAGCTTTCAGGCTGAGAGGATAGATCGTTGGAAAAGAGCGTGGTCGCGCACTCGTTTCGCTCTGGAGCTATGGTGAGGGCTGTTTCGTTTTCAGAGTTGTAACTTGGGTTGCTGAAGAACACGTGGTAGACAGGCATGTGGGGGACGTTGAACTGGGGTTGGTGACTGCTTAGGCTGTCGGTGGGGATGAATATACAGAGCGGAGTGGGGAGGTATTGTAGGTCGACGAAGTATGCAGGGAGTAAATCTGGGCTTCCCCTGTAGTCATGCCTCCCGGTTACCTTTTCGGCCCATTGTAGATTTAAGCACTAATCCACGTGCTCCTACCGTCAGAGCTCCCAGTGTTGACTTCGGTATTCTTTATCCCGTAGAAAACGTTTAGTTCTATAGGTGTAGTCTTGAGGTGTAAATGTGAGGGGGGAATCTCTTCCCTGCCCCCGGAAATGGAGGAAACGTAACAGGAATTCTCCACCCTTCCTCCATTTCCCGGGTTCTTCTGTTCCAGGTGTTCATTCCTGTAATAGTCTCACTGAGGGTGTAAAATGGGATGTACTAAAAAGGACAGGATTGCCCATTGGAAACAATGGGAGACGCTTGAAGGCCCATTGGAAATAATGGGAGCCAGGAATG